CTCCTGCCGCTGCCGCTCCTGCCGCTGCCGCTCTTGCCGCTGCCGCTCCTGCTGCTGCCTGTTCCTGCTGCTGCCGCTCCTGCTGCTGCCGCTCCTGCTGCTGCCTGTTCCTGCTGCCGCTCCTGCTGCTGCCTGTCCCTGCTGCCTGTTCCTGCTGCTGCCGCTCCTGCTGCTGCCTGTTCCTGCTGCTGCCGCTCCTGCTGCTGCCTGTCCCTGCTGCCGCTCCTGCTGCTGCCTGTCCCTGCTGCCTGCTCCTGCTGCTCCTACTACTACATGTGCCGCTGCTGCTGTTCCTGCTGCTGCCGCTCCGCAGGCTCCCAGGCTGCACCTGTCTCTACGGCTCGGCTCTTTCAGACACGTATGTAACCTGGCTCACGGAGACAAGCGGGGCACGCTGGCGTGACACGTCTGTTGTTCGTATGAATCGCATTGTGCTGCTACTGCTGCTGCTAATGCTGCTTCTGCTGCTTCATACTGCTACCGCTGCTGCTGCTACTGCTGCTGCTGCTGCTTCATACTGCTACCGCTGCTGCTGCTACTGCTGCCGCTAATGCTGCTATTGCTGCCGCTGCTGCTTCATACTGCTACTGCTGCTGCTACTGCTGCTGCTGCTGCTTCATACTGCTACCGCTGCTGCTGCTACTGCTGCTGCTGCTGCTTCATACTGCTACCGCTACTGCTGCCGTGCTGCTGCTGCTTCTTTTACTTTGACACCTCTCTTCACTTCGCATCTCTTTTACTGAAACACTAAACAGCTTCAACAATATTCTACTGCGGTGGCTTTGATACAGGATTATTGCTGTTATTATCTACGGATGCTGCAACCGCTGCTGCTGCTGCTGCTGCTTCATACTGCTACTGCTGCTCCTGCTAATGCTGCTTCTGCTGCTTCATACTGCTACCGCTACTGCTGCTACTGCTGCCGCTAATGCTGCTTCATGCTGCTACCGTTACTGCTGCTACTGCTGCCGCTGCTGCTTCATACTGCATCTGCTGCCGTGCTGCTGCTGCTTCATGTACTTTGACATCTCTCTTCACTTCGCATCTCTTTTACTGAAACACTAAACAGCTACAACAATATTCTACTGCTCTGGCTTTGATACAGGATTATTGCTGTTATTATCTACGGATGCTTCATACTGCTACTGCTGCTGCTTCATACTGCTACTGCTACTGCTGCTGCTTCATTTACTTTGCCATCTCTCTTCACTTGCATCTCTTTTACTGAAACACTGAACGGCTACAACAACATTCTACTACCGCGGCTTGATACAGGATTATTGCTGTTATTATCTGAGGTTACTGCTGCTGCCGCTACTGCTACTGCTGCAACCCACTCTCTCAGAAGCTTATCCTGTTTCTAATGGATGCAGCCCGGCTGAGTATGCCGCGCTGCGCTGGCCTCGTACCTATGCTCCCAGGGTCACTTCGGCGGTCATGCTTCATCTCTCTACCTAATCTTCTGATTCTATCAGATGCAGCTGGCCGAGTAGCTGCGCTGAGCCGTCAATCGGACTCCTAATCAAACGCATCCATACCTGTATTCTTCACTCTTCTGATCGCAGGTTCCCCATCATGCTGCCCATCCTGCAGCGGCACTGAACTCCGGCTCATCTTCCAAGTACATGTCTGCCCTCCTCGCAGCATCTTCCTGCTCTCCTTCTATGGCTTCTCTGCATAAGCGTCTCACCATTGCTCACTCAACCTTCATGCGGTCCGAGACACGGCTTTCCCGACCATCCTACTATCCTGATTATCTAATCTCCAACCCAAGATTCTAAGCGTAAGGGCGCCTGCAACATCAATGGCCCTCTCCGATATGTCTCTGCCCCTACAGGTCTCCGCTTCTACACGGACGCTGCCCCTTCCGTGGGTTTTGGGGGATTCTTCCAGGACCATTGGTTTGCCGAGCGTGGCCGCTACTTTCCACCGGAGCATCTCCTCTGCCCTACACGAGACATTCCCAGTGGTCGTGGCCTGCGCGCTGTGGAATCACACATGGCAGAGAAAGAGGATCTCTGTCATGTGTGATAATCTCGATGTAGTGGAAGCATTACACAAAGGTCGCTCTTTTTCACCCAACATAATGTCCCCTGACCATTTCAACCTTCATCTCAAACATTCAAAAATCAAAGGAGCCTGCAATATAGTAATAGCTCGCTCGGACACATCTCTCTGCCCCTACAGGTCCATGATGCGTTACACTCGCCTCCGCTGCAAAAAGGAGATTTTAACGGACCTCTATTTCTCACTCCAGACATTCTTCCCATGACAGCAACCTGGTTCAGAGCCCAGCTAAGATCCCTACTGCTCCTCTGTAAATTGTCTCCCCAGCTCTACACAGCTCACTCCTTCAGGATAGGCGCTGCCACGCGCGCGGCCTCGCTGGGGCTCCCCCACACCTCTCTGCAACAGCTGGGGCGCTGGTCCTCTTCGGCTTTCTCCGCCTACATCAGGCCAGACGCGTCCGCTATCCTGGCTGCACAACGGCTACTGGCTTCTTCGTAAGCTCCCAGCAAAGCAATACGAAGCAAAGTAAGTGAAGCAATAAGATTCTGGTGGCGGCACGCACTTCTTCAAAGATAACCCTGTTGCAGCGTCCGGTTGATCGTGATGCGAGCGCTCACGTCCCGGCGCTCAAAGATAACTCTGCTACAACGTCTGGTATCGATCGTGATGCGAGCGCTCACGTCCCAGGCAGCGTCCGGTTGATCGTGATGCAAGCGCTCACGTCCCGGCGCTTAAAGATACTCCACCGCAGCGTCTGGTACCGATCGTGACGCGAGCGCTCACGTCCCAGACAGCGTCCGGTTGATCGTGATGCGAGCGCTCACGTCCCGGCGCTCAAAGATAACTCTGCTACAGCGTCTGGTATCGATCGTGATGCGAGCGCTCACGTCCCGGCGCGCAAAGACAACTCTGCTACAGCGTCTGGTATCGATCGTGATGCGAGCGCTCACGTCCCGGCGCGCAAAGATAACTCTGCCCGTTTTTGGGGATTATGCGCGCGAGCAAGCGCCGCACTCATCAGCATCTCTCCCGGGCCTAGGGCGCCAAACATACTCAATCAACAAACTTCTAACTGCATTTTCCCTCTTGGGTCTCTCCAAAGTGAAATGAAGCTCTTCGCGAAAGTTCACTGTGGTAGACCCGGCCACTGCTGCCAGATCTACAAGCCTGCTCATCCTCTACTCATCCATCCATCCATCCATCCATTTTCTACCCTTTAATCCATTTCTGGGTCAGGGGGGTGGCAGTCAGAGATGCCACCCAAGTCTCATAGCACCAGCCCCTCACTGACCCTCTGCAGGTGGTGAGTCCACAGGAGGACGGCTGCTCTCTGAGTGTGAGCATAGCCTTGATCTTTCAGTGGGGGCTTTGGGCAAAGTGGGGTTAAGTGTCTTGCCCAAGGACACAACGACAGCAGTCATCAGTGGGAGTCGGTGGAGAAGGTGCAGAGGTGGGAATTGAACCCACGACCTTCTGGCCTTAAGGCCAATGCTCTACCAACTGAACTACTGTCGCCCCCTCTACTCATTACACCAGCAAAACGCCCACATCTAATCCACCAATAACCACCAGGACAGCAAGTTAAAAGCCGGAGACGCCCACTTCCCGGCCTTCTGAAGTTTGCAAAGCCTCCGCCGCCCCACCTCCTCCTTCTCTCATCGAAGCGTGCTTGCCTACTGCCTCTGCCGTCACCAGTGCCTAGGCCCCGGGGGGGATTATGCGCGCGAGCAAGCGCCGCACTCATCAGCATCTCTCCCGGGCCTAGGGCGCCAAACATACTCAATCAACAAACTTCTAACTGCATTTTCCCTCTTGGGTCTCTCCAAAGTGAATTTAATTTGGGCAATGCATCAGGATGAGGTCACGGGTGTTGTCAAAGCAGAAAAGGGGATTCTGAGACTCGGAGAGCACCTGTACTTAAAACACGGGCATGATAAGACTAAGCATGATTACATTAGGCAGAAAATGAGAGAAGTCGGTAGGTTAATTAACGAAGCAAAAACCGCAGGGAAACTGAAAACAATGAAGGATTTCTTTATTCCTTCCAACTTTAACCATGTGATTGATGCAGTCAGGTCTGTGGCTGGATATGATGAGGAAACAAATCAATACAAGACTCCATCCTTGGCTCTCAAACTCGGCCATAGCCTCAGAAAGCAGATATTCTTGAATGTGACTCAAAAATGGAGCATTGTGTTGATGAACTATTTATTAAAAACCTCCAACGAAGCCGGCTGCTTTTTGAGAAGAGGTGGGACGTCTGTGTTTCTTCTGCTGCCCTACAGACCCTCCGGCAAGCCAAGTGGAACACTCCGGACCTGCTCCCTCTGACTGAGGACGTTAGAGCCATGCATGCACATATTGAGGTATGTCGACCTGAATATGTGCAAACCCTAATAAGTGAGCCAACGTCTAAGCATTGGTCTAAACTGGCAGTTTTGACTCTTTGTGAGGTCATTATTTTCAATCGAAGAAGGGAAGGTGAGGTTTCAAAGATGCCACTGACAGCCTTTACCTTAAGAAGTAAGACTGGGATCCATTCTGACATTGCTCTGGGACTGTCCCAACTTGAGAAAAAGCTGTGTCAGCATTTTCAACGCATTGAAATTAAAGGGAAAAGAAGTCGGAAAGTGCCGGTTCTTTTGACTCCTGAAATGATTGCTTCGATGGAGGTGCTGGTGGAGAACAGAAGGGCCTGTTCCATCTCTGACCATAACCCATACTTCTTTTCCCGCCCGGGCGCAGACACCCACATCAGGGGATCAGACTCCCTACGCCAGGTAGCCAAAGAATGTGGTGCGGTGCATCCAGAGATGCTATCCTCAACCAAACTTAGAAAGCACATAGCTACTATGTCTACAGTTCTCAATATGAAAGAGAATGAGATGGACATACTTGCCAACTTCCTCGGCCATGACATTCGCATCCACAGGCAATATTACAGACTACCAGAGGGGACACTGGAGCTGGCCAAAATCAGCAAAGTGTTGATGGCCATGGAGCAGGGAAGAGTGACGGAATTCAAAGGAAAGAGCCTCGACCAGATACAAATTGAGCCTGAAGGTAATTCTTGATATTATTAAAATATGTATGATTTTTTTCCCCTAAAGGCCACTTGTATTTTTATTTTCTGTGCGACAGGGAGAGCAGTAGAGATCCTCTCACAAACGGACGGGCTAAAAGAAACTTCAAGCGGAGAACCTTCAACCATTCATCCAGATGCACCCCATGGTAGTGGCAGTGCCCCTTCTGGTAAGTGTACCAGGTGGGGGATTACAGCCAGGCTGCTTGGTCCTAACCCTGGGAGTGTATATTGCTAATATATTTTTATTTCTCTCCCTAGAACGTTAGAGAAAGCCATGGTCTGCATCTGAGGTGAAGGCTGTGGAGAAGACCATGACACCTTTCATACAGACTGGAAAGGTCCCTGGGAAGTCTCACTGCCTGGCCTGGCCTGGCCTGGCCTGCATTAATGCCTCACCAGATGACCTTAGACATCGGACATGGAGTGGCATTAAATTCTATGTCAAAAATAGAATCACTGCAATTCGAAAAAAAAATCTAAAATAAAATTCCTTTAAAATAGTTGTTTGGTTTCTATTGACTGTTTTGTATTACTTAAAGTCTTGGTAAAAAAAGATTATGTCTATGGGTCCCATTCTGAACGGCCCTGTCAAAGGGACCCACCAGGTAACAAAAACGTGTATGTGTGTGTGTGTGTATCTGTGTGTGTGTGTATCTGTTTGTGTGTTTATCTGTGTGTGTGTGTGTATCTGTGTGTGTGTATATCTGTAAGTAAGTAAGTAATGTTTATTTATATACCGCCTTTTCACTGCACATCGGAGTCTCAAAGCGGTTTACAATTGTTATTTTTGGGAGCGGGGCCAGTACAGGAGGCACAGACCTATTGTACATATTTTTAGTGGTAGGGGAAACCGGAGCACCCGGAGGAAACCTACGCAGACACGGGGAGAACATGCAAACTCCACTCAGAAAGGCCCTGGTCCAACCGGGATTCGAACCCAGGACCTTCTTGCTGAGAGGCGAGAGTGCTAACCACTCAGCCACCGTGCAGCCCCACGGGCGTGTGTGTGTGTGTATATGGTCTTTCTCTCTGGTCTCTCTCTCTGGTCTCTCTCTGGTCTCTCTCTGGTCTCTCTCTCTGGTCTCTCTCTGGTCTCTCTCTGGTCCCTCTCTGGTCTCTCTCTCTGGTCTCTCTCTCTGGTCTCTCTCTCTGGTCTCTCTCTGGTCTCTCTGGTCTCTCTGGTCTCTCTCTGGTCCCTCTCTGGTCTCTCTCTCTGGTGTCTCTCTGGTCTCTCTGGTCTCTCTGGTCTCTCTGGTCTCTCTCTGGTCTCTCTCTGGTCTCTCTCTGGTCTCTCTGGTCTCTCTCTGGTCTCTCTGGTCTCTCTCTGGTCCCTCTCTGGTCTCTCTCTCTGGTCTCTCTCTGGTCTCTCTGGTCTCTCTGGTCTCTCTGGTCTCTCTCTGGTCTCTCTCTGGTCTCTCTCTGGACTCTCTCTCTGGTCTCTCTCTGGTCTCTCTCTGGACTCTCTCTCTGGTCTCTCTCTGGTCTCTCTGGTCTCTCTGGTCTCTCTCTGGTCTCTCTCTGGTCTCTCCCTGGTCTCTCTCTGGACTCTCTCTCTGGTCTCTCTCTGGTCTCTCTCTGGACTCTCTCTCTGGTCTCTCTCTGGTCTCTCTCTGGTCTCTCTCTCTGGTCTCTCTCTGGTCTCTCTCTGGTCTCTCTCTGGACTCTCTCTCTGGTCTCTCTCTGGTCTCTCTCTGGTCTCTCTGTTTCATAAATGTTTTCCTCACAGATTTCTTACAGACTGTTGTGACATCTGCCCTCAGTGTTTAGAGCAGAGCTGACCGCGCTGAGGCCTCGGGCTTCTGTGTGGCTCGACGTGGTCTCTGTCGGGCTCGTCGTGGTCTCTCAGCACAAACATACCCTGGTCTCACACAATGGCTGTGGACACAGCTCGTTAGAACGCTTGCATCAGGTCCAGAGGACGTGAACCTGGTGAACCCTGAGTGACTCTAACATCCACAGGGGAGCGGGGACCGTCACGAGCCGAGGACTGGCGGGGACACGGAGGGGACCGCCACGAGCCGAGGACCGCCGGGGACTGGCACGAGCCGAGGATATGGGGGATAGAGGAGAGAGCACAACACACAGAGAGAGAGAGCTAGCTTAGCATCTGAATGTGATCATTGCTACAACAGGAGGTTGGGCTCAAATGTAAACAGTGACTCCTGAGGTCAGTGTTTGATCAAGTCCAGGAGCAAAACAGGTCTCTCTCTGGTCTCTCTCTCTGGTCTCTCTCTGGTCTCTCTCTTTTCCTCCATTAGTTTTGACTGATTTCACCTGCCTCACCCTCCAGGTGTGAGGTCTGGCAGGTTTTGGCTGGAGCTCAGAGGATGTTGTGGAAATGTGTCTGAAGCGAGAGACCAGAGAGAGACCAGAGAGAGACCAGAGAGAGCCCAGAGAGAGCCCAGAGAGAGCCCAGAGAGAGACCAGAGAGAGACCAGAGAGAGACCAGAGAGAGACCAGAGAGAGACCAGAGAGAGACCAGAGAGAGAGCAGAGTCACGGTGACCCTGACGTAGCATCTGTTTTGTGTTGGTTAAATAAAGTTAGAGATGACAGATGTGGATTTTGGCTGAATCTGAATCAAACACGAAGCTTCAGAAGAAACAGCGTCAGAGTAAATCTGGACAAACGCTGCTTTGTCATCGAAGACGAGAGAAACCTACAAAGTCCAGACCACAGCGAGAGCGGATCATACAGGACCAAAACATTTATCAATAACAACAACTGACATCAGGATCGTATCGGACTTTGGTCAGAAAATAAGTCTCAAAGTAAATCCTATCAGTCACAGAAAGAGAGAGACCAGGGAGAGAGAGACCAAAGAGGAACCAGGGAGAGAGAGACCAGAGAGGAACCAGGGAGAGAGAGACCAGAGAGGAACCAGGGAGAGAGAGAGGACCAGGAGAGAGAGACCAGAGAGGAACCAGGGAGAGAGACCAGAGAGGAACCAGGGAGAGAGAGACCAGAGAGGAACCAGGGAGAGAGAGACCAGAGAGGAACCGGAGGGAGAGACCAGAGTACAGTAGAGTAGAGTAGTGTAGAGTAGAATAGAGTAGAGTAGAGTAGAGTAGTGTAGAGTAGGGTAGAGTAGAGTAGAATAGAGTAGAGTAGAGTAGAGTAGAGTAGAATAGAGTAGAGTAGAGTAGAGTAGAGTAGAGTAGGGTAGAGTAGAGTAGAATAGAGTAGAGTAGAGTAGAGTAGAGTAGAATAGAGTAGAGTAGAGTAGAGTAGAGTAGAGTAGAGTAGAGTAGAGTAGAGTAGAGTAGAGTAGAGTAGGGTAGAGTAGAGTAGAATAGAGTAGAGTAGAGTAGAGTAGGGTAGAGTAGGGTAGAATTGAGTAGGGTAGAGTAGAGTAGAGTAGAGTAGGGTAGGATAGAGTAGAGTAGAGTAGAGTAGAGTAGGGTAGGGTAGAGTAGGGTAGAGTAGAGTAGAGTAGAGTAGGGTAGGGTAGAGTAGAGTAGGGTAGGGTAGGGTAGGGTAGAGTAGAGTAGAGTAGTGTAGAGTAGAATAGAGTAGAGTAGAGTAGAGTAGGGTAGAGTAGGGTAGAGTAGACTAGAGTAGGGTAGGGTAGAGTAGAGTAGAGTAGAGTAGGGTAGGGTAGAGTAGAGTAGAGTAGGGTAGAGTAGAGTAGGGTAGGGTAGGGTATGGTAGGGTAGAGTAGAGTAGGGTAGGGTAGGGTAGGGTAGAGTAGAGTAGAGTAGTGTAGAGTAGAGTAGAGTAGAGTAGGGTAGGGTAGAGTAGAGTAGGGTAGAGTAGAGTAGAGTAGAGTAGAGTAGAGTAGTGTAGAGTAGAATAGAGTAGAGTAGGGTAGAGTAGAGTAGAGTAGAGTAAAGTAGGGTAGAGTAGAGTAGAGTAGAGTAGAGTAGAGTAGGGTAGGGTAGAGTAGAGTAGAGTAGAGTAGTGTAGAGTAGAGTAGAGTAGGGTAGGGTAGAGTAGAGTAGAGTAGAGTAGAGTAGTGTAGAGTAGAGTAGAGTAGGGTAGGGTAGAGTAGGGTAGGGTAGAGTAGGGTAGAGTAGAGTAGAGTAGGGTAGGGTAGAGTAGAGCAGGGTAGAGTAGAGTAGAGTAGGGTAGAGTAGAGTAGAGTAGAGTAGTGTAGAGTAGAGTAGAGTAGGGTAGGGTAGAGTAGGGTAGAGTAGGGTAGAGTAGAGTAGAGTAGGGTAGGGTAGAGTAGAGTAGAGTAGAGTAGGGTAGAGTAGAGTAGAGTAGAGTAGTGTAGAGTAGAGTAGAGTAGGGTAGGGTAGAGTAGAGTAGAGTAGAGTAGTGTAGAGTAGAGTAGAGTAGAGTAGAGTAGAGTAGGGTAGAGTAGAGTAGAGTAGAGTAGAGTAGAGTAGGGTAGAGTAGAGTAGAGTAGAGTAGTGTAGAGTAGGGTAGAGTAGAGTAGAGTAGAGTAGAGTAGAGTAGGGTAGAGTAGAGTAGAGTAGAGAGATCCGTCACTGAGATAAAGCTCAGATTGTGTTTTCACTGGGTTTAACAAAACAAACAGCCTGACACAGAGAAGACTCTTCACTCTTCAGAGAGAGAGAGAGGGAGAGGGGGGAGGGAGGGAGGGAGGGGGGGTAGAGAGAGTAGAGAGAGTAGTAGGGAGAGGGGGGGGATCCGGGAGAGGGGGGAGAGAGAGAAGACCTCAGGGGGGGGGGGGGGGGGAGGGGGGGGGAGAGAGGGAGAGAGGAGAGAGAGGAGGGGGGGGGGGGAGGGGGGGGGAGAGAGAGAGGGAGAGGGGGGGAGGGGAGAGGGGGGGAGGAGAGAGAGGGGGGGGGGGGGAGAGAGGGAGAGGGGGGAGGGAGAGAGAGAGAGAGGGGGGGGGAGGGAGAGGGGGGGAAGAGAGAGGGAGAGGGGGGAGGGAGAGAGAGAGAGAGAGGGGGAGGGAGGGAGAGGGGGGGGAGAAAGAGGGAGAGAGAGAGCGGGGGAGAGAGAGAGAGCGGGGGAGAGAGAGAGAGCGGGGGAGAGGGAGAGGGGGGGTGGGAGAGAGAGAGGGAGGAGAGAGACCAGCGAGCTTTAGCATCTGAGAGATAGACCAAAGAGAGATGAGAGAGTCAGAGAAAGAGACCTTTAGTCCAGGTCCAGTGCCGGTCCAGTCCCAGTTCAATCCTGGTCCAGTCCCAGTTCAGTCCTGGTCCAGTCCTGGTCCAGTCCTGGTCCAGTCTTGGTTCAGTCCCGGTCCAGTGCCAGTCCAGTCCCGGTTCTCACACTTTCACAGATGACGTGTCTTTGCAGAAATCTTTTCAAACTCGAGCCAAGATCAATTTACATCAAAGTCTCAGAGAAAAGAAAATCCTCTGGATTCACAGAGA